TACCAATAAACACAATCTTGTCAACTTCTTTTCCGTGAAATATGACGTTGATGTAGTCAGCAATTACTCGATCAACATACCTACATTCTTCATAGACTAGACTCACATATTTAGCCAGTACTCATCCAACACCGTATCACTCAATAGAGCAAGAGTTATCGCACCACCCACTCTTTAACGGCTGCTACTCCCATAGGCAGTGCTTCCCCAACTTTCAATGTCACTTAATCGGTCATCAATAACCATTTCACCTATACATTAAATCCCCGTCCATCAATCTACTCATCTGGCGTCATATACCTTAGTTATGTGGTCTGTATGTCCATTTAGGATTAGCGGTCTAGGGTTCAGGCATTTACTCAATCATCTACTCCATCTAATCATTAGCATGATATCAAAGTTGGCAACACTCCTTAATCGGAGGCGTTCAGCCGCCTTTTTAAACCAGAGTTTGCCATAGATTTCTCAACAACAACCTCTGGTAAAGACTTCATATCAATATGTGACATAAATCACTATTCCCAACACTTACCTTTCGGGTTTTCTTTTCCTGTGCATACTCGACCCTCTAAAAAGCACTATGCCACACAACATTCCTACCTGAAAACCTTCGTATGTGCTTCTTTCAACACAAACGCTTCTTTGAAATACGACCACGGTCTTCACACAGTTTTTCACAGAAGGGGTCGCATCTGTTTCGGCCACCTTAGTTTATACTTGGGTTAGTGTTCTATTGTGCGTATACCGGAATGCTGGGTCGTGCTGCGGGAGATTAGGCATAGACACAGTAACATTGTATTCCAGCCGTGCTAGTGATTCTTCCAGCATGCTAACAATCAAGCTGTGATTCGGCACCGGAGCTGATTTTAGCTGTGTTTGCATCCCGTGCTTCTAAGGCTAAGAGCGAAACACAGTGCACTTGGTTACTGTGCTTACCTAAATATCCCAACGGGCCCCCAGCCGTCCCGTAGTCTACAACCAGCGTGCTGCCTCCGCCTATAATCAAGATTTGGGCCCCGCGAGATTGCAAAAGTTTCGGAAAAACTGTTGAAAACCGTCGGGCGTGATTCCAACAACTGGGTTTACAAGAACACATACGATCTTTCACGGTAAATTTGGTTCGGTGTCCATATGATTAAGGGGAGAACTCATAAGACCGAAAACAAGGTCAAGTTTGAATATGTTTATGAGCATCTCTCATAGGCAATATGTACAAGGTTGAAAACTATGCAAAAACGCTGTGTCAAAACACGGTGTCATACTCTTCTCCTCATTATCGTACTCTTGATGTATATCCGCTAGATATACACAGATACAGGATACAATGAATGTGATGGCAATTTAAGTTGTAGTTTTCCTTGCGACCTGGCCTTTCTTCATCACTCAATCTTTCTTATACTAATAATACTCAAACTATACATTATCAGCATAATACAGTGCTTTGATAAGGCCAAAACAAAATATAGGTGTGGTTACGGTTTCCCGACCGACCCTATTTATTCCCAGCGACCCTAAACATTTTATTGTCAATTTTCTTTAAAGTAAAAAAATAAATAAATAAATAAATAAAAATGAATCGGACAGTTCCTGCTTCAAAAGGCACAACGCACATCCTTCGGACCTGGCTCTTAAATAAAATATTTTAATAAAGTAAAATGTTTTCCCTACCTACCTACCCTATTTTTTTCCGGCATGTAACAGTAACCACACATATATTTTGTTTTGGCCTAATTGGGTTGGCTTTGGGTGTTCAAAGTGCTTTTCATTGGGGTAATAAAAGGACTTTACCCAGTGGTACAGTGGTGCTGGAGGGGTCGTTGTATTGTTTAGTACGTATGTGTACCCAGGTATTATATAGTGTTCTCAACTACCCCTTCAGCCACAGTCGCAGTATGTTTTTACATAGCTTTAATTTTTTCCAGGAATATTAAAACCTGAAGTTACAGTCAAGTATGTTGCAGTTTCTGTGATATTCTTCAACAGTGGTCTTTCCCTAAAAACTGAGGTATGTATATGTGCTCATATCAAGTTTTTTGTTTACTTAGAGCCTTTGGGAGCATAAATTCATCAATGCTAGTAAACTAAACAACTAATGGTAACAAAGTGCATAATTATTCCATTTAGACAGGTTATAATGTGGGATTCTCACAAATCGGTAAGTTTCTGCTAAGCAACTCATCCTTTAGTTTTCCAATTTGAAAGTCATGACCAGAGTGGTATTCATAATTGATAAATGAAACCATTATATTTTATAGTAAAGTTAAACTGTTCTAAGTATCCATGTATCCATGCTCACTAATTCTTTCCTTTGTTATAAAACAGGAGCTTATGAAGGCTTTATTCAATGGGAAGCTGCACATCTTTGTCCAGTGCTTCACATTGATGTTCATTCCATGCTTTATGCAAGCTATTGTTGCCGCACTGCAACTATCGTCAATCAACAACTGGCTGTTAAAAGGGTAATCTCAATGCTTGCAATTTACAAATCTATATATACATATATAGGTTGGTGATGTGTACGAGGGAGAGTGAAGGTCAGAAAGCAGTGGGGAGGGAAGATATTGAGAGATAGAAAGAGAGGAGAGAGAGAGAATGGAGAGAGTCAGAGGGGGGAGGTACAGAGAGAGAGAGGGGGGGAGACACACAGACAGAGAGAGAGAGAGAGAGAGAGAGAGACAGATATAACAGACATGCAAAGAGATACGCATGCATACACACACACGAGTGTGTGTTAGAGAGAAAGCGATAGAGAGAGAGAGAGAGAGTCAGACAGATAGGCACACAGACAAACTGATACAGAGATAGCGACGGTGTTGGAAATGGTTACAGATAAAGTGAGGGTGGCAGATATATGAAATAGCATACATATAATAGTTGTATTTTTAACATGTCTCCTGCAGGTTGCTGGTAGTAGGATGTATGCCTCCGCCAGTGTCCTCAGCTGTGATACTCACTAAGGCAGTCGGTGGAAGCGAGGTAAATTATATTCTAATTATCTCAAAGCAATATGTAAATGGCAACACGGGTATATCTCCCAAATGCTAACATGTGAACTTGAAGTGGCTTTGTGCTGCAATTGAATCATGAGTGGTCAGTGGGCAGTGATTGCTGCAGATGCTGTTAAAATGAGATCTTCGTGTATCTGTTGAAATTATTACAGAATTGTTGATATAAACCATCTATAATTGGTTTTCATTCAGGCATCTGCGATATTTAACTCTGCGTTTGGAAGCTTTTTGGTGAGTGTTGAAATTATTCTATGATGTTCTTGTATTATTGTATCACAGATTGCAGTGATTACGGGTTGTCAAAGTTTCAGCGCATATAATGTAGAATTATAGCAATGATAAATGTTACTGTGATATTATTGTCAAGATGTAAGTTTGGATTCCACTCGTTTAACCATTATTGCTGCATTGGAATCGTTTGCTATATGTCTTTTTCATTATTTCCAGGGAATATTCGTGACGCCATTATTAATACTACATGTAGTGAGTATATGTTACAATAATATGAACATTAAGATGTCTGATGTATGCAATAGTGATATTTAGCAGTAGTAGAAATGAGAATTGGAATTAGAATACATGTAGTGAGTATATGTTACGATAATATAAACATTAAGATGTCTGATGTATGCAATAGTGATATTTAGCAGTAAAAAGATGGAAGCTCCCATTGTACGTAGTAGCAACAACTATTTGCAAGACAGAATAGGTAAGCACTCATCCATGTACCTACGCAAGCCTACAGGCTGAAATAGAGAGCTGCCACCTCTAACTAATTAATGCAGGCAAAAACTACACAGTACTATCACCACCACATGCACTGGCAGTGGCATACGTTACTTATAACACACTGACAGTACAGAATGCCATAGAAATTATACGATTGAACGAGCATAAACCTTCTTCAACCAAATTTAGCTTTTGAAATTTCACTGTGACATTGTAGCCTCATACATCCAGGCATGTATAGATTCTAATAGCAAACCTGGCAGTCAAATTCTTTCTAACAGTAAACAAATCCATGTTTAACCCTCCTCTTAAGGGTCAAAAGGTTATCTGACACTTACTCTTCGCATGTCAGCTAAGTTAACTGTACCACAGTCACATGGAACGTTTCAATAATAAAATGATGGTAAATAAACACGAAATATATATCAACATATATATCAATGCCTCGTATACACGACGCATTAACGAGTTAAGCGGCTACACGGGGCCTTAACTCAAGTTAAGGTAACTCGAGTTAGCTTAACCTCGCCAGTCGATCGAGGTTAAGCTAACTTGAGTTAAGGCCCCGTGTAGACGCTTAAAGTGATTACGTCACTAATTTCTAGCACCATCAAGTAGTATATTTGTGTGTTATTTGTACAAAATAAAATGTATGAAAATACAATTAGTGTTTCTGTTTACTTTTCATGCTTATATACCTTCTTTATATGCCCTAATTTGCCGGTAAAAAAAACGAGAGACGCCAGTATCTGAACAGTACAGGGAGAATGGTGTTAGACAACAGAAATTCAAATCGCCTAGATTTTTGCAAATTTAACCAACGTAAAAATATTTTTATCAGGTGCGAGTGAGATATTTAGTAACGTTAGTTCTTACTTTTAATGTAAAAAAAGTTTTTTTTTTACAAATTTTACCATAAAAAATTCGTGACGTAGTCACTTTAACTCGAGTTAGCGAATAGTACATAACTCCACGATAGGCAGCAACACTAGTACGATGTACGTACACACGCACGCACGCACGTACGCACGCACGTGTACTTGCACACGCACGCACACACTCATGCACGCACGTGTACGTGCACACGCACGCACGTCTACGTGCACATGCATGCACGCACACACGCACGTGTACCTGCACACACACGCACGTACGCACGTACGCACACATGCACACACGTGTACCTGCACAAGCACGCACGCACGCACACATGCACACACGTGTACCTGCACAAGCACGCACGCACGCACGCACAAACGTGTACCTGCACACGCACGCACGCACGTGTACGTGCACACACACGGACGCATGCACGTACGTGTACAGTAGGTACACACGCACGCACGCATGCACGCACGTGTACGTGCACATGCACACGCGCGCACACACGCACGCACGCACGTCTACGTGCATATGCACACAGACGTGCAGACACGCACGCACGTGTACGTGCACACACACGGACGCACGCACGCACGTGTACGTGCACACACACGCACGTGTACGTGCACACACACGCACGTGTACGTGCACACACACGCACGTACGCACGTACGCACGCACGCACACATGCACACACGTGTACCTGCACAAGCACGCACGCACGCACGAACGTGTACCTGCACACGCGCGCACACACGCACGCACGTGTACGTGCACATGCATATGCGATTCTACAAGCTGCATCTGACTATGTCAGATGAGCTAAAAATACGGTAATTCCGTGAGGCTCGAGCACGCTCTGGAACGAACTAGTTAGTATAGCAGAATTTTCAGGGAGTCACACGGACTGCTGCATATGTCAAATCAGGGAGTCCGACAGTAAATCAGGGAGTGTTTGACTCCGGACTTGCGTTAATTTCGCACCCTGCAGTTATATTGACTTCATCTAACAGCAGTCTCTTTTTATCAACAGGTTGGTGTAAGTACAGAGGTTCCAGTTGTAGCGATATTCAGTACACTCGCTATGACTGTAGTTGTGCCTCTACTTCTTGGACAGCTTGTGAGATGGTGCATTCGTGACTGGATCCAACGAGCAAGTATTCCATTTGGGCCAATTGGAAGGTGAGTCAACATTATGTAAAGGCGATATTTCTTTGAAAATTTTCTTCTTTTTCATCGCTTCTTTTTCTGTTCTTTAGTTTTTTAATTATTAATTCTAATTCTTTCATTTTTCTTCTCCGTGTCCTTTAATTTTGTGGGTTAGGTCAAAATTTATTTGTGTGTGTTAAACTGTCAATTTACGTGTATTTTTTAATTATTTTTGTCTAACTTTACTTCCAGTGCAATTTTGCTGTACATAATCTATACGACATTCTGTGATACGTTCAGTCATGGAGAAGGCCTACTCAGCATGGGTGACATTTTACCAATAGGAATTACAGGTGAGCTATTTAGCAAGAGTGATTCAAACAAATCTATTCTATGTCATTGCTCCGGTTGTGTCCCTCCGGCATGCTGTATCGACATATTTGTTAGGCTGTTTTCTTTTATTTCAAAGTCATCTACAAGTACAAGTACTAATTAAGTGTAGTACTAGTGTAGCAAAACAAAGGAGGGAAAATAAAATCGAGGGTTAGGTACATGGTGATGCTATGAAGTTGCTTGTTCTTGTAACTGAGTACTACATGATAATCAGCATGCATTTTTTCAGTTTTTTGTATTCAGGTGGTACTTCTATCCCTCACCTTCCTGCTGTGCACTAGAGGGCCGGTAGCATTCTCGCCAGCAGACATAGTGGCAGCCATGTTTTGTGCTACACACAAGTCCCTCACATTAGGTACGGTCTTCACATCCGTTTTGACACTGTTTACATTCCAAGGAAATTGGACATTGTCTGCATCATGGTCCCCGTATGAATCCTATGTTCTAATTTCCTCGTTATCTGTACTGCTGCGTTAGTCAGTTTCTCTGGTCGTTCTCATACTAAAGTACTTTCCTTTAATTTCTCGTGTACTACTGCTCGGACAGCCATAGTATGACATAGGCAGTTTCTAATTCGTATGTCTTCCTTTCCATTAATATTATAGGTATTCCAATGCTAAAGATAATCTACCATGGCGACCCTCACTTGTCACTGATCTCCTTGCCTCTGCTAATCTACCATCCAACACAGATTCTGCTGGGAAGCAGCTTGGTACCATCTATTAGGAAATGGATGCTCAGAGCTCAGCATAGGTATGTGGCGAATAATAAAAGTTTAAAGATCTAGCAGTTTTCTACGATTTGCTATCGATCGTTCAAGCCTGTCAGAAAAATTACGGTGTTAGAGAAACAAGTTAGGCAACAATGGATATCACATCTCGGAATAGTATTTCCACAAAGCGTACTATATACTGGGGGTTTGGTAAACAACAAACAGTTGTTTCAGACGACCCATTTCATAATTGCGCTGGTTAATGTCAATAATATCCTAAAGATGGCACTATTTGCACTCTTGCTCTGTTTTCAAGGGTGTTGCTATCCCCCGGGCGTGGAGTGAGGGTCACGCAACGTGGCAGCACTATAGTGTTAGGATTAGGGTTAGGATCAGGGAATTAGGGTCAGGGTCAGGGTTAGGGTTAGGGGTTTTGCATCATGATATCTGTCCCCACACCAGATTAATTTTTGTGGATGACGCCCCTATATATAGCTATCCGACATATAGGTATTTAGTGTTAGGGTTAGTGTTGGAGTTAGGGTTATGGTTACCACAGACTAACGGATACCGTACACTACACTGTATCCGTTAGTCTGTGTGGCTACTGTTAAGTTTTGAAGTATACGTCAACTGTATCCCGCACGTGACCCTCACTCCACGCCCGGGGGATAGCAACACCCTGTTTTCAAGGGTGTCACTTTCCCCCGGGCGTAGAGGGAGGGTGTCGCTACGTGGCAGCACTTAGTCACTTCGTACACTTTCATCATTCCACAGTCATACTTCCATGCTAGACATGGCCTTATTTCCCTAACCCTAACCCTAATCCTAACACTAGTGCTGCCACGTAGCGGCACCCTCCCTCTACGCCCGGGGGAAAGTGACACCGTGTTTTCAATGCTAACAAATGGTTTGATTATTTTGTTGCAGAAAATCTACGTTATCTGGTATATGATGAACAGAAATTCCTCATCGCCTTTCCGTGAGGCAGAACCATTGTTTGATACTTCGTTTTAACATGAGGATTGCAAGTATATGAGAATCTTCAACTAACAGCTTGCACCTGCCAAACACATTATGTATATTTTTTAAACAAAATTATTAGTAGCACTTGTGAATACTAATTTATAAGTATATGTAGCAAATAATATATATTATTGGAATCGTCTAAGGTAGTGTGTGATAGGGATATGCACTGTATTGTAACAATTATGCTATATGGGAATTTCCACATTGTCATTGGTATTCAGAACAATATATATATTTTTTTAAAGATTATAGTCTATATATTCTTCAAGATAATAACTTGTTTGGGTTTTATTTCAGACAATCGAATATATATTAGTAAAAAACAACGTGTGAGGACAGGTTTCATTACAATCGTATATCACATAGCAAAATGGAATGAAACTCAGGACTTGCCACATTTTCTTTGCAATAATTGCAAAATGGACAAATGATGCTCTCCATTCATTAGTAGTGATTCGAGCATATAACATAGACATTATATTTGCACACTCAAGCTGCACAAGATACACATCTTTTGCGACAAATACGATCACACATTATTTAGCTGAAATCGTCATTTTCCGTTCACTCAATGACGTTCCCCATTCAACATACACATATTAGAACTTACTTAGGTACCATGCTTACACATGTCATGGCAATACATTTATTTTTTGGTGAATAAAAATACTTAAAACAGTCAGCACATCTTTAAAATATTATAATACAAAAAGACCACTGAAATCATTTCATCACATATACAACTCGGGTATATTCTTTAACTGGGTATAAATACCACATGGGTAAACTATATAATTTCTCTCTTCACAATACCTACACTGCACATTACCTGGGTGAAAAAGGAAATACACATTGTATGTAAAAAGAATGTAACCAATTCCTAATTTGATGCAAAACCATTCATTTAAGCTTTCATGCCTTAATTATAACCATATTGCACAACTATTACTTAATATATGTAAAGGTCATTCAAAATATCTAATAACAATTTGCATGCCTTGTTTATGATTATGCATTTAAAATAGAACTTGACTATGTAAAAGACTTATACAAAACATCAAGAAGTAATTTACACAAATGTATGGATTTACAACGTGTATAATTTGATTTTCATCATATTTGAGCTATCTTGGGCTAGACTTCATTCAACGTATTGGAAAACGAATAAAAAGGTTACCTTAACAGATGAGCATAATGTACTTCTACATATATTTATTGGAAACACAAATAACTGTTAACTCAATATTTATTAGATGGGATGCCATCTACCTTAATTATGAAATGTACTTTACTGTACTATATTTTTAGCTCACCTGACATAGTCAGATGCAGCTTGTAGAATCGCATGAGCGTGCGTCCGTCAACAGTTGGGCACAAATCTAAACGGCTCGACGTAGGATTCGAAAGTTCGGGACGGTGGGGGTGTAATCCGAAAAACGCAGTTTTGGATGTCCGAAGCGGGGGGTCAAAGGTTCAAAGGCCAAGAGGTGGGCAAAAGAAAGGGGGAACATTCCACTCCTTAACGTAAGGTATGAGGGTAGGAAAATGCAGAATTGCGCGCCACAAATCTAACGGCGTCAACCCTAGGCCTCGTGATAGTCGGCTGTAATAGGCATCATGGTAGGAAAAAAGCATCACTGTGGCCGAAATATGAGGTCAAAGGTCAATGGGCACGGCAGAATTTTTAGACAATTTTCTGAGGTAATCCTAATACATGCCGTGGATGTCCATGAGGCTACAATGTCAGCAATGAAATTTCAAAAAAGCGAAATTTCGTTAAAAGAAGGTATTTTTTTTTTTTTTTTTTTTCTTTTTTTTTTTTTTTTTTTTTTTTTTTTTTAATTTTTTTTTTTTTTTTTTTTTTTTGTTTTTTTTTTTTTTTTTTTATTTTATATTTTTTTTTTTTGGTTTTCTTTTTTTTTTTTATTTTTTTAACTTTTTTTTTTTTTTTTACTTTTTTTTTTTTTTTTTTTTTTTTTTTCTTTTTTTTTTTTTTTTTTTTTCCTTTTTTTTTTTTTTTTTTTTTTTTTTTTTTTTTTTTTTTTTTTTTTTTTCTTTTTTGTGTTTTTTTTATTATTTTTTTTTTTTTTTTTTTTTTTTTTTTTTATTTTTTTTTTTTTTTTTTCTTTTTTTTTTTTTTTTTAATGCTCCTTAAATCGTATAATTTCTATGGAATTCTGTACTGTCAGTAATGTTACATGTAACCTATGCCACTGCAGTGGCTACTGCCAGTGCATGTGTTGGTGTACTGTGTAGTTTTTGCCTGCGTTTAATTTGGTTACAGGTGGCAGCTCTCTATTGCAGCCTGTAGGCTTGCGTAGGGTAAATGGATGAGTGCTTACCTATTCTGTCTTGCAAATAGTTGTTGCTACTACGTATGATGGGAGCTTCCATCTTAATCTGAAGACACTTAAAACGTACGCGCCATCTCGTGGCCAACTTTCATAATGATCCCAACGAACATTCCTTTGAGAAGGTTCCTGATACCATCCCTGTGCATTCCCATCGTTTCGGCGTGTATGTGAACAGCATATTGGAACTAACGGGTTTACTAGAATCCCACCACTCCCACCACAGAGTCACCGCAAGTAGCGTTAGATGAGCGATGTCGCTCCGCGGCACTTGTTAGCTCATCTGACATAGTGAGATGCAGCTTGTAGAATGCGACATAGCGTGCGTCCGTTCGTCTTGTCACAAGTTGGGTACAAATCTAAACGGCTCGACGTACGGTCACGATATTCGGGACGTGGGGGGGGGGAATCCGAAAACGAGGTGAGATGTCAAAACTGGGGGTCAAAGGTCAAGAGTCAAAGGTGTAAAAGAAGGGGAAACATTTCCTCCTTAACTTAAGGTATAGGGAGGAAATGCAGAATTGCGGCACACAAATCTAAACGCGTCGACAGGCTCGTGATAGTCGTGTATAGCCATCATGGTAGGAAAAGGCATCACTGTGCCGAAATTGGAGGTCACAGGTCAAAGGTCAATGGGCACAGGGCAGATTTTAGACATTTTCTGAGGACATGGTCTGACGGAGCGATGAAAAACTTTTTGTTTCAGCGGTGACCTACCATTTTTATGGTTTTATTGAAATAAGGACCATGCGACACCATTGAAACTTTCCGCTGACATGCGAAGAGTAAGTGTCGGACTAACCTTTTGACCCTCAGAAGGAGGGTTAAACATGGATTTGTTTACTGTTAGAAAGAATTTGACTGCTGGTTTGCTAGTAGAATCTAATACATGCCTGGACGTATGAGGCTATATACAATGTCACAGTGAAATTTCAAAAGCTAAATTAGTTGAAGAAGGTTTATGCTCCTTAAATCGTATAATTTCTATGGCATTCTGTACTGTCAGTGCGTTCACATGTAACTTATGCCACTGCAGTAGCCACTGCCAGCGTGCAATGTGGTGGTGATAGTACTGTGTATTTTTGCCTTGCGTTTAATTAGTTACAGGTGCAGCTATCTATTTCAGCCTGTAGGCTCTGCGTAGGTAAATGGATGAGTGCTTACTATTCTGTCTTGCAAATAGTTGTTGCTACTACGTACGATGGGAGCTCCCATCTTTAATCTCAAGACACTTAAACGTACGCGCCATCTCGTGGCAACTTCATAACGATCCCAACGAACATTCCTTCGAGAAGGTTCCTGATACCATCCTGTGCCTTCCACTGTTTCGGCGGCGTATGTGAACACATTTGGGACTAACAGGGTTTACTAGAATCGCCCACTCCACCACAGGAGTCACCGCAGTAGACGTGAGATGAGCGATGTCGCTCCGCGGCACTTGTTTAGCTTATCTGACACAATCAGATGCAGCTTGTAGCATTAGCATCCATCCGTCTGTCCCTTTGTCTGTTCGTCTACCCATCAACACTATGGGCGCAAATCTAAATGGCTTGATATACGTTGTCGATATTCTGGACGTAGGGGGCAATCCAAAAAAACATTGGGATATCGAATCACAGGGGGGGGGGGCAAGGGTTAAAGGCTAGAAAGGGGGAAGGAAGGGGTATTATTCCCCACTTAATTTCCGGTATAGGAGGTTAATCGCAGCAGTATTTATATGTATTTGTACGGTACGTTTGTATTTGTACCTGTTTGAATAATCAGTTTAGTGGTGAGGGCGCCACATGTTTAATTCCCGTGTTTCATAGCGTACCCTTTATATGTAAAGCCTGTTTTGCTTCGCGCGTACACTACTGTCGGTGTCACCGCTACTGTCCCATCGAGCGTCGGCATGCCAAAATGTAAGTTTTTTAGTGCTAACGTTCTACTGCAGTATTATTATAACTTCAGAAAGCATGTGTCATATTCATAGTGTTGACGTAGATGCAGAATAGGTGTACGTTCAATCTGATAGCTAAATTACATTCAATTCGAGTTTATATATTCGCGCGGTTTTCTAAGAGAACAATTACTGTTTACGTAGGATACAGCTGTAGTATGTAGTAAGAACGTATTCTCTGTATTTTCATTTTTAGTTTTTCACTGAATAAACTACTGACAACGAGACCTCCTGCCTTTCGTCTCTATCTGATGACAGTAAAGGAGGAAATGTGTAATTGCGGCACAAATGTAAACGGTTTGGCCTATGCTCTTGATATTGGGTATATATAGCATAATGGTAAAAATCCATAATGGTCACAAAAGCTTGCTGTCACAGGTCAAAGGGCAGTATGACCAAGGACAGATTTTAGACAGTCTCTGAAGACATGGTCTGACGGAGCAAGTGAAATAAAACTCGTTTCAGTGGTGACCAGTTTTTATGGCTTTATTGATAGGGCAATGAAATGCACTTTCCACCAATGTGCAAAGAATAGCTGACTGGTGACCTGTTGACTCTCAAGGGGAAGGCTTAACATTGATGTTACTGACAGGCTTGATGATGGTGTTGTCATTCACGGGACGTAGGGGGAAATCCAAAAATGCATTAGGAGATCGAAATTGGGGGATCAACAAAGGCTAGAAAGGAGGAAGAAAGGGGGAATATTCCCACCTTGACTTAAGGGTAAGGTATAAGACCAGTTTTGGGGAATTTCAATATTGCGGCACAAAAGTAAATGGCTTGACCTATGCTCCTGATATTTGGCAGATAGAGTCATAGGGAGAAAATCCGTCACCTTGGCAAAATTGGAGGTCAAAGGGCAGTGGGGCCAAGGCCAAACTTCAGACATTTTTGGAAGACATGGTTTGACACACAGGCATTTGGAACATTCAATAATAAAATGATGGTAAATAAACACGAACTGTATTTACTACCAAAGTCTTAATGTTTCTATTCTATTCTCTTTCGCCTATACCAGTAACAGTATCCTGTAAATGCAGTTCACACTCTCTCCAAACTCAAGCCTTGATAGAGCACATATACTAAGCAATAAATAACATTCATTGTCTGGGTCTTTTTATAACCCAACGTATCAGGATAATTATTATTACAGACATAATTACAATTTCAGACAAGATATTTTAGGACATTATATTCCATTGCATTACTATAAAAAGCCAGATGCATCACGTGCCATGGACATGCACTATATGGCACGACGTACGCCTTATAGCGAAGAAAGACTGTATAAATTGAAAAAATATGCATTTCACATCAACCACAAGTACTAAACATTCTACGTACGCATGATTGTCTAAAAAAGCATTTTCTTTGTTGATGCTCAGTGTGAAGAGTATCTGTGATTCTACACAAGTTTGTTTTCTACATCTGTATGTATATTATTGTCACACAGAGGGCTGGATGACATCTGTGTGTCAGATCAATCTGGCAAACTGAACTCTTGCGGCACACATAAAAGCAGTTATTTCACCATGTTGCTCCTGAACCACTTAATCAATAACGGCCTCGGCAAGAAGCAGGTGTTGCTAATTACCAATGGGTAATTCACATGAGTGAGCTTAATCTGTGAGCACATGAGCTTAACCTGTGATGCTGGTGGCCTCTTGAGACCAGATTCAGTATAGGAGGAGTGTAGTACATTCACCATGTAGATGACACACGGGCTTTTCAGCATGGGAGTACTAGTGGCAGTGGTTATAACTATGAATGCAGTCCTATATATGGAACTATAGTTCACCATAGCTAACAATGCACTGAGGCAGCAATATGTGTAAACTGGTGGGTAGTATATATCATACTGGGCTTACTCGTAGAGAGCCATGTGTCTCGCCTCGACTGAATACCAACTCTACAGAAAACTTGTCCTTGTAGTGTGACCAAGTCTTTGGTTTATGTGGATTGTCAAGCTCATTCCTTGGTATGAGTAATCTATAAAGAAAAGGATGACGTAGGAGTGTTATGTACAGCTTTATTTTATAACACTAATAAAGGTTCACTTATTGAAAATACGACTGTCACACAAAGCACTAAAAAAAATCCACATTCTTACATACCTTCTACTATCATAGTAAGAATTTTCAACATTTGCCATCTACATCACACTACATATGTATCCAGCATGCATAATGCTTAGAAATCATGTATTGTTTGGCATCATTGCCAATAGCAGGACTCTGCTCTAAGTTAACGAGAAAATTTTGAGAGAAATTATAATTATTACCTGTTTTCAACAAATGAAGTGTGAAACCAAAAGTAGAAGGCGCAGTCGTCATATTCACATGGAACCTTTTTCTGCAAATCAGTATAAATTATTTGCATTAACTCCCATGATTGACACATCATTACTGTCGTCATTGTAATTACAGCTAAATGACGGCAAATAATGGCTGTAGCATGACACGTTAATTATAAACAGCACAGACAAACCACATTTTGCATATATGCACAACACATTCGTCTGCACCTATGTGTCTTTATGAACAGACGCCACAGTGAGAGTACGTGCTTGTGCTGCAGTTGTAACAGCACTTACAGAAAAGGCTATGGACTATAAGGGCGAAAACGTCACTCACAATAGGCAACTAGTTTTTCGTATATCAGTGGAAAGTACACATTAAGGATACACTCAAGCTTTTGCACAGGTATTGCTATTAAAATGAGTGTAAAATTAAATTATTCTGAGTTATAATGACAGAGGTATAGCCATTTATACATCGGCTACTGTGGTCGAAATCCAAACGGAGAAATCAGGATTTTTCTATTTTTCACAATGATTGACAATGATTGTGCGAAATGGGTGAATATATGAAACATCTACTGTTGGTAATTACTGCGACATAGCCATGATTAACTGAAACTACAACAAATTGGTAAATGTTCTGTCCATCTTGAAGATTACCACTTGCAATTTGATGCGAAACGTGCGAACGCTGCGTACTGCACGACGTCACTAAGCTGCATGTCAACAAACCCGGGCCTATATGTGATGTAAGCTATGCAACCAGGTACAACTGCTATTTTCGACTGCGCGGCAATTTTAACTATCACTGGCAGTTGTCGGCTGTAGGCGGGTTAAGGCTGATAGATTCTGGCATAATCTGACGTCACCAGTGTTCAAAGGGCCACGGCTCACTGCGCACATACGTGGGCAATCAAAACGCCCTGAAAGCTAACATATATACATTGATATACCGAGAAATAAGCACTACAGAGGTCGCACCTGGTGTTAGCTACCAAATAAGACTGAAAATAAAAAAATCTATGAAATTTTGCATGAAACCTTAATTGGGTGTATCATTACTGCTCAAAGTAAAAAATTTTACTAAAAAAAATTAAACTATTACAAACACAGAACTGGTAATCAACCTAGAACTGGGTCATCTTGTAGGCTACTCACCACCCTTGACCAGAACATGACCTTCACTTCCTGTGAGAGTGTAGGACACTTGTGGAGGTCAACCTTCACCATGTCTTGCAGTGGAGCGTGCTGTACCTGTAGATGATAAAAACAAAAAATGTAATATTTTGTGAATGCTAGATAGAAGATATGAATACACTACTTAAGTTGATTGAATAAATTCATCGGATCTCTATAATACGCTATATGTTCGGGTTGTAACGTATTCATGTTAATAAAGTTTATCTCAGTTAGATCCAAATTAAGTTAAAAATAACTTACACTAACGAAATCTTCGTCCATCTCTCCGATAGACTTCCTCAGGTGTTTAAATCATCAGACCTGAGGAAGTCTATCGGAAAAATGGACGAAAATTTCGTCAGTATAAGTTATTTTTAACTTAATTTGGATCTAACTGAGATAAACTTTATTAACATGAATACGTTACAACCCAAACATATAGCGTAAAAGTTGTGCTTAAAATAAGCATAAGTATGAAACACATAGATGGTGACATATATGGAAGCCTACGTATTAAACCAGGATATCACGTGTTCTTGATAAACCTTACAAGAGGCTATAGGAATGTACACAAGCATAACAAGTTCTGCTACTTCTGGTACTGATGTAACAAACAACTTTAACGTAGACTGTTTCCATACAAACATACAATAGACGATAGAAAGCACAAAGGCATTGGAGCTATTACAGACAATTACAGTATTATGGGCTCTAGGTAAAAGTAATTTTACACACCTGACAATTTCTGTACATTCCCACATCGCCCTCCAGAACACAGATCTTGTTTGTGTCAAAGATCTTAAAGTAAAGATCACTACCATCGCCGTTTCCTAGACCTGAAGTTTGATCATAATATAATTATATGTGTAATGTAGGAAGCAATGTATAACTCTGATAGTATATCTATTGGGAGTGATCTACAACAAGGTCATTATTACCGCTAGGGTATAAAGAGGGCTATGCTATGACAAATGCATAGTGTTGCACTGACAGCTACGACATTGGAATAGCTACAGAAACCATCTCTTTAACGCACGAAAATGGCCACTGCTTTGATAACTCTAACAATATAATTACATATCTACAGCACTGACCCAATCACTGCTTTGTCACTGACATAAATAACTACAATACTAACATTGCTATATACTAGCTAATATAATCACTCATCTGAAAAACATGCCTTTAACAGCTATGGCATAAAATATACCTACCTGCTATGCCGTGTATAGTGATGGAATCAATCTTGATGAACTTGTCTGGGGGAAGCTGGTGATTATACTTGGTTTTCACCTGTTCGTAATAGCCGACAAACCTGCTCTGACTAGGAGTCTCAACCCCCTGAAACTTCTGACTCATGCTCAGATCTGTACGTCTGAAGCCAAAATAATCCAGACTGTCCTGCAGTAAAAAATAGCCGATACTTGCCTCAGCACATTGCCACAGCTTGTTACTTGCACAGAATCGTTATCATTACTATAGTATACACTTGATCAGTCTTGAAAACATTAGAAATACTTTGGAATTTTATACATATCTAAAAGTGCATTTTCTTTACATTCATGAAAATGCATGCATGCATTCATGCATTTTCAGGACAATTCATTTGCCAGAAAGTACAGTACAGAAATGATGAATACCTAATGATAAAGGATAATATATAAATTCCAAACTCGCAAAAATCCGTTTGAAAATCCACTTGGAAATTTTAAATGCAAATGCAACTAATCCTATCTGTCAATGGCAAAATGCCTGGATACTGAGAAAATGGGAAAGCCTGACAAGCTTACTAAGCTTCACTAAGCTCTTGATCTGCATTAATTTCTTTCAAGATACGAGGTGATGAATGAGTTAAATGCCCTTTGAGTAGTACTGACATCATATAGCGGGGGAGGAATCAGGATGCACAATAGCAATGCAAAAAGACAACCATAAATCGCGCATGGCCAATCCAGAGCCACACATAGTGTGCCAACTGACAGATGCAAAGAGGGCAACTGATTCAATGAGGGTACTTAATTTGTTTACATAAATAATTAAGTTAAATATTAGTTTAACTTCAGGTTGAATCTAGCCTTAATTGCTTTGGGGCTTGTTAACGTGTAAATGTATAAGCTATTCACCGCAGCATTCTTGAATTTTTTTATTTGAGAAAATATTATTTATTTCAGATATATTTTCAGCCGATATGAGTTTTTTGAATGACAAAGCTTTACCTGAATGCAAGCATATATGTTACTAGCAATATAGCTATACCTGTGCCTCTTCAAATAGGCCACTCTGCACCAACCACACACAGATCATGGTACCTGTGCGACCTTTCCCCCCCTTGCAGTGCACTGCAATCACATTGGCTGGATCAGCATTGATAAAGTCGCTCACACTTTGCACATACTTCAACATGTCACTGCAAAAGAATTATAATGCTCGTTCAACGTATTTCACCCAACCTGAAGCCACAAGCATAGCAAAATGTAATAAAATGAAATTTTAATAATAAAAAGGCTTCAATTAATTGGGCTTTCCTGAAAAAAGAAACTGAATAATTATTAATGCATTTCAGAAATTGTAAATAAAGAGTACCTAGATATAAATTGATAAACTGATAAATTTAATAAACTGCCAAGGTAATGACAAAAAGGATTACTACTATTACCGATTAAGCAAGCATATTCCACCAATTGATCTACTTTGAGAAACATGTTAATTTAGCCATTTATTTTTGCAGGAATTGTAAAGTAGGACCGGAAATAAAAAGATCACGTTTCAATAATGAAGACGAGATATACAGGATAAGGATACTGAATACCCATGATGTAAAATTAGAAGTGGATCCATATGTAGCATAAATACTAGCAAGATTCTGAACCACTTTAATTTTACCTGAGCTTTGGAACGTTATGGTCATCTATCATAACTCTTTCCACGCGTCCATGGAACTTACTCACATCGTAAGTTCTTTCACCTGTATTATGGACATATACCTGTCACTGTATGCTGTATTAAGAATTAACTAAATAGTGGTTCTGAATTGTAAAAGAATGACAAAACTAGCTAGAGAACTAGAACTATAGATGAAGTAGCTAGATAGATGAATTTTATTAATACTTACTGCATAAGTTATAAATCATGTAGTGATCTTTGTGCTTTGAGTTCAAAAACCGGGCTACCTCCTGCAACATAATAAAGCACCATCGACTGATAGAAAAATGAATAGGCTCAGTTATTGCTATGCCTATTGCTCTATTGTGAAATGTTTACAGGCAAATCCTGCAGGGGTTTCAAATAAATACCAAGAATGTAGATTTTAGTGGCAGCTTTATGTTAGACAATAACTTTTGTAGTTTTAAATCGCAACTCTGAAGTCTGGGAACTTGTAATATCAAATGTTTACATACGATATTCCATCTTGGAATCATTCTGACAGCAATGAAAATTATGTTTTCACACGATAATTGATTGATTCTTACCCCAATTGGATTTCTGTAGAGAGCCATTTTGCCCGTTGATGGAAATGACATGGCAATGACACGATCTGTGAGTAGAACATGTAGAATACGTTAGAAAATTAACATTGCTTGCCTTACAAAAGACTGGAAACTAGATCATTTATTATCACATTTTTGCAGTAAATGTTAGGAGTGTTTGTCAATGTTATTAATCCCCTTGAGGTATGTAGCATTGTTCACTCATCAATTTCAATTCCTGCACAAATTATGAACACAATTTAAATTAAATCACCTAAATATCGAGTTTATAATATTCCCATCAAGAGTTGTCATTTTCTAAGGTGCTGCATAGATTTGTAGGCATCCGTAGCAAATTTAACGAGTTAAGTTAGTACCTGTAACATAGGTAAGGTCAAGGTCAAACCCATCCTGTCGGTAGCGCCGCTTGTTTTCAGATATCATGCGCCGTGCAGCTGCGATTGTCTGCTCTTTCTCAGAGAACAGTCTTAGGAATCGAACAACTCGAATAAGTCGACCGATGACCACAAGTCTGCAAGGAAACACCAATGCATTAATCCCGAGGAGTGTGAGACCTGGTGTTGACCACCTCGGTACATATATACCTCACCACCAGCAATAGTGGTGCATAGTATGAAATAAACTAGCATCATTACAAACACCACTCTCTAACTTCAGTGACACTCTAAGACTAAACTTCTCGGAATCTGTGATACACGATAATTTAATGACTGAAGAGTGATTCCATAAGATACGTATTTTTTTCTAATGCAGAGTGAATTCTTACATGAGCAGTTTTCCAAAAACAAAACAATAGACAGAATAACGGTATAAAGAATTCTGAAAATTGACGATTGTGCTCCTGAAATTGAATCAATTGATCACAATCACTGGATGTTATATATAAATGAGTTAACATATATGGGTGCACAAGATTAGGCCAGGCACAGCGATAGTTAAAACTACAATTGGCCATGCAATAAGTACAAATTGAGCTTGTGCAGCATTTCGCATTTCCATGATCATAATACGTGATATATAATATATATTCCGTGATAATAATATCCTGACCATGGTCAACCAAGGGTCACAAGGGTGTCGTGCATTCCTAAATCTGTGAAATTCTATCATCTTAAGTCCAAACATCGTTTCACATAGTTTTTTAATCTGCTCTGGTCAAAATTTACTGCGATCAAACACCCACTTCAATGAAATTCATTTAATAACTCTTACAATTCAATTCTCGTGAAATGTTTTGATCTCCCCCCCACCCCGCCACACCCACACATACAGATCTTAGTTGAATGCCTCTAGAAAATTCAGTGACTTGCCAAGTACATGACAGCACTGTAAGTAAACAGTTACATTCATCAGACGCCTTCAGACATCGCTGCAAACGTAATGGATGGCAGGCGAGATCTATCTGTGGACGGGTACGCAGATATTTGTGAAACCACGTGTGATTTGCTTCGTGTATTGAGAGTGCACGCACACCTGACGCTAAACAGCCACGCTACATGGCAGAGCGCACACTCTATCAAATTAAAAAGACTCCCTGGTAAACCAGTGGGCTACATGGCAGAGCGCACACTCTATCAAATTAAAAAGACTCCCTGATGAACCAGTGGGGACAGGGGGCATGGAACAGTCCATTGATTTATAATAGCTAGAATAACTTTCGAGTATGTGCGCACATTGCAAGAGATAAATCTATTCATCGTAAATATCATGGGACGCCATGCGGCTTCGCTATGCACACGCGATTATTCATGTCAGCATGCATTATTTAAAGGAAGATGGAGCGACAATCTGAACGAGCAGCAAGTCCGACGCACGTATTAATGCCATGCTGTAGAAAACCTCGTGGAGACATTCATACAGTTTCATTCTCATCAGGTTAATTCCTACCTGGATTCACTGGTAATGCAATGCTACACGTACACCAACAAATGGAAAATATACAAACGTGCCTTTCTGGTAGACGAGGTGAGAAATCATTACATGCAGAAAACGTGCACATGCATGTGAAGCGTGATTGAATATAGGAAATAGTTTTCATCAACGAGATGAATGCTAGAGCTTCATACGGTACCTGCCAATGAACTTCCCCTCCTCAGCATTCCTGGTACCATGCAAGGGTAAATGAGACCACACGCATATATAAATCCCTCGCAACGGTTACACAAGTTTAGGAATTGTATGAAAACATACAAGTCCCCCCCCCCTCTCTTTCTCGCTCTCTCTCTCTCTCTGTCTGTCTCTATCTCTGTATCTGTCCCTGTTGCTCCCCTCTCTCTCCATCTCTCTTTGTCTCTCTCCCACATTCTCTCCCTCTCGCTGTCTCCCTTCCTCCATCCCTTCCATCTTACTTCCTCCCCTCTCCCTCTGTCCCTCTCTCACACACACTCTCTCTCTCTCTCTAGCTGTCTATTGCTCTCTCCTACTCTTGCTCACAGCATTTCTTGTGTATCCTTAGATATGATTGTGAGGTTACAAGGTTCTCGCTCTAGTTTACTTCTCATTTTCAGCAGTAAACTGCAGTCGTGTTCTAATCAAAATGTCATTACCCGTAAACGTTACACTTTTATAATATGAAATGGGATCAGGTTTGGGACCACTTAAGCTGTGCTACATTTGCTCTGTGTAGGGATGCAGTAAGGGCACACCATAATCCAACACAGGCACTTGGAGCATTTCAATAAAATATAATGCTAAATAAATATGAAATCTATTTACTACCAAAGTCTTAATGTTTCTCTACTCTCCTTCACCTATTATTGCCGACAAGCCGTGCTGCAAATGCTCCAGCCAAACCGCACGCACGCTGCTGCGCTGCTGCATACTATGCAAACTTACACATAAATATAGTGTTATATTAATTTATTATTATTTGTATTTATTTAGCATTATATTTTATTGAAACGCTCCAAGTGCATGTGGTCCAACACTACACTTCGCACGTATACACACTGGCTTGCATAACCACAAGGGTTCGTAGAATGTAGTAAAGGTATATGCCCTGCCAACTATCGCAAAATGTACACTGTGTACGATACCACATCTAGGATGGATGTAAAATTAATAATAACCTATTGCAGTCATTTCTGGTGAGCACTATAAAATATACTGCACTATGTACAGTAAAATGGGTGACAAACGCAAGGCACGTACCTTTCACTATTTCTACAATAAATGCCAAGAAGACAAACACAATATGAATATGTGATTCCCATACATATAGGCGTGCAGTGTAAGGATGTGCTGTTATGTTCCTAAAGGTTACCAGGACTAGTGTGTAAACGAGTTACTCAGATGATCTCTAAGTCTCTAATAGATCATTCCATGTCAGGCAAGACCAAAAGGAAGCAACAGCTATTCACCTGGTGGTGCGATCAGTAAGAAGCAGGTCTTCATCAATCATACTGTCGATGAATTAATGATAAAAAACTTTACTCCTAATGTTTAACTAAAAGACCATCGGTGTCAACACGTGTAGAGTCAAACATGTGTTGGCAGACAGTTCCATCAAATAGATGCTTATCTATAAAGGACACTTTTATCATTCACTAAAATCGCAGTTATATGGTGAATCTACATCTAAACGACACCTGCCTATAATTTATAAAGAACAAATTTGAGGTGTCCATTAATTGATGTTTATAATATATAGGTTTGACTGTAACTAAAAATATGGATTATAAGAGACATTAAGTGTTCTGGCTCAAGAGTGATCATTTCACTTAAAATAAACGTTTATTGAAGAGAAAGGAGAAAGTTGGCAAACTATAGAACAGTTTTGCTTGAAAATACAACCAATTGAACACATTCGCAAAATAGCATTCTCCATGTAATATCCTCCACCATTATCACTATCTCACAAAACAAAAACTCTTCCCACTCTTACAGAACTCATTGCAAGGCTATATTTACTTACTGTAGGAAACGTGTGCTGTTCTCTAACGCCAGGTAGACAATGCTGATGATGAAAGTCACCAACGTAACAACCAAGTCGACTACATTATACCACTCCTTGAAAAAATTCTTCCTGCAATAGAAGATGAGGTATTGAAATGCAGCAGAGTAGAGCACACCGCCACGTTCACGTTGAATTAAAATTATTCTGAACTAATTAGAGCCAGCCGGTGCCTAATATAACCGATATGTGACACACTTCTTAATGTGAACCCTAAGAATAACTAAGAATACAAAATAGAAAACGTAAAATGTTCAGGGAAATCACGGCAGGAAATTTCATTTTGAAAAAAATCAACTGTAAATTAAATTAAATTTACGTTAATGAAACAGGGTTTAGTATTTATTAAGGCCACATGGCAATGTTTATTTCTAGAAAAAAATTGCTATTTGCGTATTACGGCTCATCGTGCGTGCGTGCATTTTTTAGTTTTTGGTTGGGCCTATAAAAACTTTAATTAGCCTAACGAGCAACATCTGTGAGAGTGGCAGGCCTGTTAGTGTCACAGGGGGGACTTCTTCAGAGTAGCATCAATGATGTTTGCGTGCGTGCCATGTTTGACGACAGGACGAATTTGGCGGAAGTCACCACAAAATAAAGTCACCAAATGGGTGTGAATTGGCAGTCATGCCCTGCAATGTGTGGTTAATGGCTTCATATTGAGATTTGTGGGTCATGGGAGATTCTTCAACAATGATAGCAACGGGTGTTGTTGAACAAGCTTGCTGGGAAATAAGATATGTAATGTATATCAGGGGTTAATAATGACTATAACTGGCAATTGGTCATTATTCAACCCCTGATAGATATATATATATACACATATGTACAAGAGCAGATAATACACATCTGTATATTATCCTGTGTATTATCTGCTCTTGATATGTAGCATAGCTTACCCCTTGCCAATGATGCGGAGGGTGATTTCGACCATGAAGATGCTAACGAGCACGAGCGAAATGGTACCGAACGTGCGATGCAGGTTGTCGTTGCCGAGAGCGATGTCGATGACGACGATGATGATGTCGACAGCAACCAGCAACAAACTTGTGACGCGTACAGCGAAATGGTCGACAAACTTTGCAATTTCTGCTCGAATGTTCCTGCACAGAGTTTTAAAGTAACCATGTAACAGTTTTACAGTTATTTACTTAAAATCTTTTATTCATTATTTATTTTTTTACTTTCACTAATTTCATTTATGTTAATATATTAAACTTTGAACACAACTAGCTTTTTCGGTTGGACTCGAGCTGCTATATTATCCAATCAAAAAATAAAATCCTATCTTGTCTTTAGGCACAGCATTTTTCACAAAATATCCTTCAATTAATGTTTTCCGCTATTGTGCACTAAAATAATTGTTTATGCATGCCTCCAGAAGGTCTCATAAAATCTAAGTGATTAGCACCAAATCTGTTCATAAAATCCGATTTGCAAGAAAAGTGAAACAATATCGCCAGGGACTATTTTAAACGACACTGGCCATTATTTGACAGTCCAGGAATAGTAAAGACTATACTATCACACACACGAACCCATGCACGCACGCACACACACGCACACACGCACGCACGCACGCACACACGCACGCACACACACGCACGCACGCACGCACGCACGCACGCACACACACGCACGCACGCACATATATTATGTTGACCTCTCTTCATTTACACTTTCCTTTAAAGTATATTGAAACAGAGAGATGATAAAGGAAATGATGCTTGAAGGTTACAGTCAGCAGTGTTACAATAATAAATAATGAACCCAATTAGATCTATAGTCTAATCTATAATTAACCTACAATACATCCAAGAAGAGAAGTCGGGACTTGTGTACATACACTGCTGATAACAATACCGCACATAAAATGTGTCTGAAATCACGACCCCAATGTGTACGAAGCCCGTTTCCCTGCATACGATTTGATTCAGTTAAATTCACGATTTTAGGGATCATTCACACCAGAGCTACGCTCATCACGATCGCCCCACGCTCCAATTTGCCCGAGCGTGGTGAGCGTGGTTGAGAGCGTGGCCAATTGGGCCCCAGCCGGGCCCAGCGCCGATACTACGATCTAATTACGTCGATACTACGATCTAAGTGCGTCTTTACCCCGATCTCATTGCGCTCAACAAGCTTTCACCACGCTCAACACCACGCCCGCATCACGTAGCACTAGGCTCACTGCGTCTTTATTGCGACCTATCAGATCGCATTGCTCACCGCGCCTCAATGTGCACATAGCTTTAGTCAAGGCGCCGGACTGCGCTGGCAAGGTCATAGTATCCGCGCAGGTTCTATCATCATCAGTTCATTCTGCGTGCTGTCAGATTAACATCAGATATTAAGTCAACATTTCACTAAATCAGTATTACATCAAGATTATTTTCTCGGACACAACTATTTGCGCAAAAGAAGCGGGAGAGGCGTGGAGGGGGAAGGCGAGCAAAGAACCCAAGAGCGTTGCATGGGGAGTCCGTTATTCATTCAGTGTTGCCTGGAATCAGAGCCTGAGCAGCCTAAGAATATTACCCTGCCTTCCAGCCACGCAGGCCATGAGGTGACGTAGCACCGGGCGTTGTAGTATCAAGCAAGCCAGTGTTTTGTCGAAAGGGCAAGACGAATAAGTTCTAAGTTTCTTACGAGGATGAGGAAGCAGGCATGGTTGGATTGGGCTGTGCAGAAACACTGGTGCTTCGTAACAAGAAGATGAAGGCTCAATGACATGGACGAGAAAGAATTTCTTTGGGAGAGAAGGGGCAGGCCGAACTTGGGGAAAGATGTAGCGAGCTCACTCTGGTACCAGCAGGCTCGCACCCGCGTTGGGACGTCTGAAGAAAAAGAAATCTGGCAGGAGATGTGGAGATGACAGAGCAAGATCTTCGTTGGGTCTTCTATTTTCCTTTCTCTGTCCTCTAGCATGATGAGGGCTGGCAATTAAGTAATTTCGAGTTGTCCTTCTACGAGAAAATGGCATGGGTGTGTTGTTTATCCATAGTGGACACTGAACTTGGTGGGGTGGCCAGGTAGCACCCAATTTAGTACCTCAGGTTGGCAGGAGTGATTCTGAGGGTTGTATTGACGCACTGACACGTATGCGAACGGCCACACGGCGTGGTTGAGCGCGTGGCGAGTTACCTGTAGTTACGACAGTCGGAGCTTGTAGGAGACCCTTTAGCAAGAGCCGTGATCTGGTCGCAGAGGACATTCATGGAGTTAGTAACAGTGTGTATGAAAACGTAGTTTGACATTCGTGTGGAACGGGGCGCATTTTTCACGACCGACACGCTTGCGATCGACAGTTAAGTTTACCAAGCTCGAGTTGTGGGGTATACGCCTTCCACGTTCTAATATGCCGGCACTGCGCTGTATTTCCGCCAAGCGCCGCACCCGATTATTTTTGAATATTTGTTCAAGTTTGCCAGCTCTCCGCTCTCCACGTCATGGTGACTGCACCGCTCGATCGCCGATCGCGTCGTCATTATACGTTATCTTGCGTTTAACGTTTCATCACGTCTTAGAGCGTGTCGAGGTGGTGCGATCGGCGCCTGGTGTGAATGGGGGTATTAGACGTGCCAGAGTTTAGAGCGAATGGCAAAAGGCATTGATTAGGGCAGGCAATTGCAAAGAATCTAGTTCTGAGCCAGTTGTCTGTATGGGCCTGAGCTTCTTTATATAATGGAAAACAATATGTTACAACATTAAACGAGAATCCTGACTCTTATGTAGCCACTTATTAATTACCTTCTCGTTCTCACTAGTGTTCTCTTACGACGCAAAACAGTGTTAGGCCTGTCGCCAGTTGGTCGGGTAATCTTGCTACTATCATTTGCTCACCAGTATGTCTCTGGAGAGGGCTGGAGGCTGCTTTATATTATTCAGGATAACGCAGGTACCTTCCAGATACTCTGGGTGGTTGAATTATAGTTAGATAGATGTAGCCCGACCACTGGGGCGACCAGGCTTACCCTGTTTGCTCGTAGGAGAACACGGTGTGAGAAGCGAGAGGTTAATTTATAGTGGCTGATAGATGTAGTGATTTCTGTTAATGGGTTGTTCTATTGTTGTCTTGATATTAAGGGCAAGCGTCATCGTCGTTTGTCAATTGCGCTGCCCTTATCAATGCTTTTGCGAGTGATAATCAGTTATTGATATGACTCACTGGTGATTATCAGCATTCATCTCATAAGTCGCTGTAATAGCAGTAATAGATTTTAATGTTGCTATCATCCCGGCTTATTAATCCTAATCACAATCATGAGGATAACTATTAGCTTTCTCGGCTAGCATTCGTGTGGCTGTGGTCAGTGTAGAGTTGATTTGGTAGGAACTTAATGTAAGATACACAGCACTTTATGAGACGTGTTAGAGAAACATGTGTGTTCATTGCATTTTTAAAACCTTAAGACATTTACAATTTCGTTTTGTAAGATATCGTTTTTTTCGCACGGTTCATTTTTGCTGTTTCTAGTAGTGAATCACAATTTTTTATAAACTATAGATGGCTGAGTCTCTAGGCAGACACGGGATTGGCAAACCAATTTCATGTGTGCAAACGCATTTGGTTATTGATCAGGCTGACTGGAACTCATTGGATTGTTTCCGTGGGGAGGAAGAAGCATGTCTCGTATTCCTGTTCTATAGAATATAATAATAATCGGGATATAAATCTTTCGTATACTTCTTTAGCGATACTAGTTTTGGTAAGTACAGAAAACTGTTATGGGTTGCATAAGGTTGTAATCTGGCAGCATTGTTTGCTTCTGGGATGTAGTGTGACGTACAATACCTTAATATAACATACTATCAGTAAGTAGATAATAGGGAATTATTTCCCTCTTTATCTACTTCTGATACTTATGTGCAGAATGAACAGATGACGTGTACTACGACTTTCTTCCCTCGATCTGATATGCAGAGCCCGGCGGTGCATGCGATAGACGACGTTTAGCGCTATTTACGGGAAAATTAAGTTCACTGGTATAGAAATAGCAGTTTAGTTAGAAAATCGTACAGTAGGGATTTGGACTTAGATTTATCTGAACATTGTTGGATTCTGAGCATCTTGACAAAACAGACTGCGTTATATACCTAAGTGACGTGCCAGGCATGATTTATGCTCATAAGATTAGAACCATATTCGTTGTTGCCTTCTCATGTTGGACAACGTATCTGATACCCTACCACAACACACTATATGCGTTCTGTCTTGTACGGCGCTTGCTTGACTTTTACTATTTTTCGTGGCTTAGAAGTACAGATGCACATGCAGTCCTTTTCTTTCAAAGGAATTTTCAGCTTCGCACCAGCTTTGTATGTCCACTCGTGAACACGATGAACATATCTCAAACCCATCACTCCCATCAGTTTCGCTTCAGCAAATGAGACCCGTGAGGTCATCGTTCAACCTACATCTGTCATGCTAGCGACAAGATCCCAGTTTCTGTTGAAGTAAAGCGCTATGCCATTTCACCTTTCTTCTGGCCATTCCAAAGATTGATTCGTGGATGATTTATAGTTGTTAAGTTCATTATTCGCCTATATGATTATCGTGTAACCATCGGAGTATGTAGTGCTTGTTCTGACACGGTAGAGCTATAGTTACGATGACCGTAACGATTCTGCATGTACAGCTATGTTGTTAGCGCTGTGGATCCATTATCCATTCATATGCGCTATTTTCCATCATTATATTCCATTTGGGAGTTTACTGGGAAAACACGGGTCCAGCATTTGTCCATTATCGAATTTGTACGGTTATGGACACTTGGCTGCAGCGGCTCTATGTCTCCCTGAGTATGCCGGAACGTACCTAGTACGGTTCCGGTATATCCGTGTACCGGAACGTACCCTTGGTATATCTACACTGCGGACCGTACCCCGGGGGGGTTCACTGACTCACTTTTATGCCCGGTATTACCCCATGTGCGATTCCAAATTTGCGGGTTAGGGGGGGTGTTTTTCAATTCTAGCGGGCCCGCCGCTGGAGCAAATAGGCCCCCTTTACAAAGCTAATCCGCTTAATGCCCTCGGGATCTGTTCAGTCAAGCACCGCGCCCGAGTAGATCCCCCTCATTGGTCCCTCCTTCCTCACTCTTGCCCTCCACTTGTCATGCAAGACCTCGCATTAGGGGGTAGGGGTCGTGTGGACTTTTTATTTGTGTATGCAATAGGGGTGGGGATTTTTCAGTTGTGTTTTTGCAATAGGGGGTGGTATTCTTCAATTTGTGTCTGCAATAGGGGGTTGGTTTCCAATGTGCATGTTCGCATAGGATAGGGGCCTATTATTTTTTAGTTGAGACGCCGCACAGGGGTAATACGGCATTATAGTGACTCCCCCCGGGACCGTACCTGCCTACTCCACTAACGAGTCTAGGGAGTCGCTACGCCTACTCCCTAACGCCTACTATATCAGATTAGTTACCAGGGTACGTTCAGTTACCGGGACGCGACCCTGGAGTAAGTGTCTGGCAGTTGAGCACAGCTACAGGGAGATAGACCTATCAGCACATAAACTGACATAATTTTGCTCGTACGGGGATTTTTCAAATGATCACTGTGCTTTTCTAGCAAAAGTGGGAGTTATATCACTGGTAATAAATTATGTAAAATGTGCAGGCAGCGCAAATGTTCAGGCTACAGTTTTGGAAAGTACGCTTAATCGTTATACATTTCCCTTCCTGGTCCAGGTATCTTCATGTTACCGCTAGTAAATCTTACTTCCTATTAATTACGGCGCGCTTTACCATAATTTAAATATCAATTCCTGCATTCTTTTCTATTTCTACTCTTTGCGTTTTTTTTCTTCTGTGTAACTTTGTTCTGCTTCCCGAATCGGTACTCCTGGTCCTCACACTTTCCTGCACCATTCTTTAATTCATCAACAGTGGCGTAGCTAGGATTTTCCAGCGGTGGGGTGGGGGGCATGCGGGGCGCCTTAATTTTCGTCAAGGGGTGGCACAATTATATACTTTTCTTTGTATATTGTGTCTAACGGCATTGGTTTTTAATTTCAATTTTTTTTTTATCAAGCAATGAATTATATCAGCTGGGGGCTCGGGGCACCTGTCTGGGGGCACAGAAAGATTATTGTGGGGGGGCTTGTGCCCCCATGGCCCCGTAGCTACGACCCTGACATCGCACCTCTTCCTTCTGACATTGTCCTTCTGCTTCACGTCCACTCACACCACTTCCTCCCCCTCCGCCTTTCACCACGTAAACTCCCCATTTCTCTCCGTCTCTCAATTTCCTGCACCTGCCTTTCTCACTCCCTCCCTCTTTCCATCTTTTCCCTATACTTCCCCTTTGCACTCCGTCATCCCTCCCCTATCCCTTGACTCACCCTCCACCTGGTTAGTACCTCGCAACTAACTTTATGCATGAATATGTAACTTACCACATGTGACAGGGGTCTAACCCTGTGAATCCAATGCAGATGTTTCCGCAGTGTGTGTGTAATGGCGTGCTTCGAAGGGCCGAGCGTTATCAGTGTGCGTATCCAGAAAAGGATGAAAGCGGGGGGAGTGGGTGGAGGTGAGGGCGGGGGGCAGAAATGCTACCAAATGTACATGTACCCCACCCCGTGTGTCGTGCGTGCCCGGGTGCTAGGGTGGGGGGATGGTCCAGGAGTTTTGAAATATTTAATGCTTTTCCTGCAATCTGAGGCTACTGTGAGGGCCATATTCTGATGTCTGTGACACTATCTCAACCCTAGAACTCACCCTACGAACTTAGGATTGTAAAACACTCTTCATTGATTTTTTTCTGGGCCTGAAATGGCGAGGGGGGGTGGCGATACGGCCGGGCTCGCCTATTGCGTGAGATACGCCATGATATAGAGGTGTTCTTTGGCCCCCAAGAAATTGTGGATTTTCGGGGTGTTATCTGGTGGATTCTGCAGTGACGATTTTGCACTTTTAACCATCCAATACCCTATTTTTTAATAATATTTAGTTGCCAATAAAATTAACATGAAGTGGTATTTTCAGGAATTTGAGAAGAAGAAATGGCTCCATTATTATAGGTTATCCTTTATTGGCAAAATTACTGATACTTCAAGGGTATACTATGTAGTTCAAAGTAATTTTTTATTGGAAAATGCTAGGTAACCGCAAATTTTCTGTTTAAAAGTCGGGGTTTTTTGGTTGCGCGCGTGAGCAAAACGGGTGGACGCCTATTTCCCACGTGTTAATCTGATTAGGGACAAACTACGGTGTAACATGTGTTTTGCAGGCGTTGATGAATTAGTAGATTGAGGCTGGGCTTGGCAGTTGTTTTTGGTAGTGGTCTGTGTAGACCATGCGCTAAATCCCGGTGGCGTGATGGCGGGGATGATCCCCCCGCTCTTGAGGAGGGAAGGGATGCCTGTACCAATATCCCCCGTAGGATTTAAAAAAAACCTCCTTTCTTCCGTGCCCACTTGTGAAAGTTCAGCTTAACTATGATATTGGAGACATGGGCCAGACCTAATCATTTTCAATTACTGCGGGGGTGTACAGGGGGAGGGTCCAGGGGTGTCCGATCCCCCACCTGCTCGCGCAGAAACGATCTGAGGGGGTCTTAATTTCAAAAAATTTAGGGAGGCCCACAACCCCTTTTGCGTGATCATCCCCCACTCTACGGTCTGGATTTCGCCCTGGTGTTGACGGATGCGTCGGGCAGCCTGTGCGGTTGGATTTGCATGTTATGGAGAGAATGGTAAACGTGTTTTAGGGTGGGCGTATTCTAGGTCATTGTGATAATTGGGGGTAGAACGCGGGTTGGGGAACGTTTACATGCTGGTTAATTGTGCTGCTCAGAATGAGGGGTTTTTGGGGTTAATATATAGGACAGCGATGTAGGAGTCAGAGGCTTGAGTTGTGGAGACGGGATGTAGTGGTTTAAATGAGGATTTTACGATATTGGGATATGGCTAAGCGCATACGCCGTACGTTACACTAAAAAACGCTAAGAGTGAGAGTAAATGCAACAGGCGCCTGTCTGACTAGGCTGTTTCCATTTACGGAGACAGCCATATACGCAAATGCATAGAACACATTTAACCTGAGATTGTAGGGGGTGCGGTGCAAAGCTAAGGTAATGGCGAAAAGCCTATGAGTGTGTGTTTCCTTCTGGAAACGACTTGGGCAGTGAGTGGTATTGAATCCAACTTGTGCATATCTGCATGCCAGCCATTGCGTGGAGACCACGTGTCATAGGCAACAGCTTGAAAAAAAAACAATGCGTCCACGCAAACAATTCAGTGCAATTTTTTACGGTGCAACTGAAATGAGGAATATAACCCTGCGGCTGCGGAATGCGGAAATTAAGCCTAGAAATCGTACAGAATGCGGAATGGTTGGAGACCCTGCTACACAATGCATTCTTACCCATGAGGCATTGCATCTACGCCATGTCTTGCAGATTGAATCAACAATGAAATCCATGAAGCTATGAATAATAAAATCTAATTGTTTTAATCACTTTGGACTCAAGATATTTCACTTCCTATATCTTACCTCCAGCAAGAAAGGTGTTCGTCCTCCAGGAAGTCGTCAGCTCGCAGCCCATACTCCACATGGATCGTTCCATCGGGCGACTGCGGTTCGCTAACAGTGACGTCACACTGCTTCTCATCCTCAAACTGCGCATACGTCACACGCACCATGTTGGAGTCAAGCGTTAGGAGACTGTCGCTCCTAGAATTGCAAACACGCGCGATTTTATTTATCATACATGCGCGTATGTTTCGATATGTTTGTGTGTGTTTTAATACGGGGAGTTCTTGTTGTTCACCGATGATGCATATTTTATAAAATCAACAACAAGTGCCGCAGAGTGACAGCGCTCAACTGACGTGTACTGTAGCCAGGTATTCTTCTGATTAACTCACTGGCAACCGAATCAAGTGCGCCCTCCTGCCATCGCGTTCGCGCTCAGAGCATATATATACTACTAATACAAATCTAAAATCTATGAT